CTCTCTCTCTCTCTCTCTCTCTCTCTCTCTCTCTCTCTCTCTCTCTCTCTCTCTCTCTCTCTCACACACACACACACACACACACACACACAAGCCGAAAAAAGGCATGGAGCACAGTGCGCACGCTTGCACAGTAGCGCACCTCCATGCGCTGCGCACACGGCCCACCTTGTGCGCGCGCAGTGTCACCGCGCGCATTCCGCAGGGCGCACCGCACCGCATCGCGCACCGCACCAGTGGGCCGCAACTTAGCCTGCAATCCCATTGAAAATTTCGAAATTGATTGAATACATCCGACTCGGAACAGTGATTGTTTTTTTTTTTTTCCTTTTAAAATTTGGACCATTTCTCGATCTATGCGTGTCATCCTTGCGCAGGGGCCATGCTAATCTTCATTCTCTGCATCATTCCAATTTTGACGAATGTCCCGAAGGACTCGGAACAGTGATTGTAACCGCATAACAATCCTTTAAAATCTGTCAGTGCACAGCCCCAGCCTTGCAAGATTTCTTCATCGCCTACTGGCCCTACTCCTAAAATTTTGGAGGCTCGGGGCAACCGGGCCACAATGGGCAGTGGAGCCAGCAAAAAAAAAAAAAAAAGTGTGCCGCGGGCGGTTCGGTAAAGCTTGGCACACAGTGTGGTGCCGCCAGGCGGGGTGTACTGGTCATTAACATTTGGAGAGTTGAACCGCCACTGCAGTTGTCCAACCAGGCTTTGAAAAAAGTTCTGGTCAGTTAACGTGGGGCTGCAGAGAGGATCGAATTGCTCACAGCGAACAGGCCCAGCGTGGTGGTTCCAAGCTAATCACATGCCACTGCAATTCAGATCTCTTAGGAGCGGGTAAAAATCATCCTTGGGAAGAAGAGGCTCGGAGCAACTGGCATCTTGAAGCACCAGTACATACCAGCTATCGGCCGCGGGTCCCTTTCAGGAGGCCGCCCACTGCCGATTCATTTTATCTACGGCACTCCGCATCCTAAATCTTCGGAGAGGCTCAAAACAGGTTCTCCAGTTGCCTGGGGCCATGTACTGGTGGTTTAAGGCAACGACTTGGAGTGGAAAGGTAATCACAACAACTGTCTTCCGCCTAACATAAGGTACCCTCAACACTTTTCGAGAGTAACGAGGACTCCCAGGAGGACGAGGATGAGGAGTACGAGGAGGAGGAGGAGGACTCGAAAGGAGCAGGAGGAGGAGGCTATGGAGATTTTATCTTTCTCCTCCTTTGTGTAACAACTATTAACACGTTTGAAAGAGTAATGAAGACTCCAAGGAGGAGGAGAAAGGTGGCGGCACCACCAAGTCATTCCGCTCCTGTGAAATCTTCTCCGTAGCTCCTGAGCTTGCACATCAGCTTTCTTTTGCTTTCCTTTCTAGATTTTCACCTCTCATTTGCATCATGTCACTTCGTCTTCGTGGAGTTTGAGTAACGCATGCAAGCGTGCAGGCTGCCTCTCTCATTTACATCATGCCACCTCGTGGTTGCGGAGTTCGATGACGACGCATATATGGGGTACTTGTGCATGAGCCTGGTTGGCAACTGCTTCTTCTTCATAGTCAATGAAAAGATGAAAATACAATTAGAAAAAAAACTAGATGGACAAATAGTACCCCAGAGGAGCCTTGATGGGACAGCCAAAGGGACTAATCCGGACAGACAGACGACAGACGAAGGCAGAAACTGCTCTCACCTCAACAACAACAACAACTTTTGTTCTTTTTTTTTAACAATTAGCGCTAGCCCCTGACATTACTGAATCAGATTTCGTCTTATCCGAACTCTATTGAATCTATTGATCCATTATTCAAAAGGCAATCACATGAGTAGCATGCACAACCCACCATGCAGCCACATGGGCTAATAAAAACAACATCTCATCGTCATGAATGTATGCACACAAACTATGTTTCTTGTCCGATGCAGTCAAGATAAGGGTGTGCGGTTTGCAACTTTGCAGAAAAACTGCACTCACCTTGACAACTTGGCTCTTGAATGGCTTAAGGATCAAGTTCTGCAGAAACTGGATGCAGATCTTCGAGCCGACTACCGTGGCATTTGGAACGATCTCCACTAGGTCAGCAATCAGGCCACTGTGATCTGGTTCTGTGTGGTTCGCAACGATGTAGCTGATTGTCGAGAGGCCGATCTGTTTCCGCAGAGCGTTGAGGTACAACTCCCGGAACTTCTCGTGCGAGGCATCGATCACAGCAGTTTTCTCTCCCTGTATAATGTACGAATTGTAGGTTGTCCCATTCTGAAGACCAAACTCTCTGCAGAGCCATGGCATCAACAACAGCACACAACAACCCCATCCGTCCACCCACCCACCCACCCAGCCAACCACCGCACCAGCCAACAAACGAACCAATAACTTAAACTGCGTTCAAACTCCTCATGCAAAGTTGTATGCATAAACACCCGCAATGACTGTCCACCCCACCAGCCAATCAACGAACCAATAACTTAAACCGCCGTCAAACTCCTAACGCATAGTTACATGCATCAACACCAGCAATGACTGTCAAACCCGACCAGCCAACCAACGACCCAATAACTTAACCATGGTGAATTCCTCCTGCCTAGTTGCACACGTAAACGCCAGCGATGACTGTCTACCCCACCAGCAAACCAACGAACCAATAACTTAACTGCGGCCAGCTCCTAATGCAAGTTGTATGCTTAAACACCAGCATTTTTTTACTGTCATTCCCCGGCTCAAACACAATGCACAAGGAGTTGATGCGGTTAAATTTAACCGCCGAACAACACATCCCGATCCCCAATCATGAATGAATGTACAAGCTATCTTTTCTGTCCGACAGAGTCATGAAGGATAAAACGATACGGGGGCGTTTCTGTTCAGGGAAAGGGGTTAGCGCAACTTAAAAGGGGTTAGCGCAACTTAAGGCAGTCGAGCATCCAATTCACCATCTGGAGCAAAGGCTTTATTTTTATTAGAAAAGCAAGATCTAGTGACGAGAAAACAGCCGGAATAGCAAGCAGAAAGTAGAGATATCAAACACAGATATTTGCAAACATCTACGCATCTGGTCTATATATCATAGAAGGTAAATATCGTAATGGAATAGCAAGCAAAAAGTAGAGATAGCAAATACAGATATTTGCAAACCTCTACGCATCTGATCTATAGATCATAGAAGGTACATATCGTACCCAGAATAGCAAGCAGAAAGGAGACTCTGAGATAGCAAGACTAAACCACCAGTACACGGACATACATTGGCCATGGCCCCCCTCACCGCGACTTAGGGAGGCCGGCCGGAAACGTGACAAAGGCCACTGATGAAATCGCGACAAGGGCCACTGATGAAATTTGTCAACGGCGCCCACAACCTGGCCCTGAAAGTTGTGGTGCTGGAGAAGAGTTCATGTTCTCCAAGGCTGGGCACGTGTACTGGCGGTCCAAGGCTGGAATCTTTAGCTCTTCAGAAAAGAGCATTGAAGGTAACACCATTCCATTACAATTTCTGCACCAACGCATCTGGTCTAATACACCCAAACCTCACTGTGGTAGTCACGCACTGATCTGCAGATGCTACCGGTAGGAGCCGCGCATGTTGATGTCGATCAACTGAGAGGGGGAGCAAGTTCTACAAAACCTCTCCAGTTTTCCACGTTCTTTCTGCTATCTAATTTGTACACAAGTCGCTGTTTTTTAAGGCAATCTATTAGTCCGAAATGGCACCCTAGGAGACTAGCGAGGACCGATCGATCAGTGAAAGATCTTCCAGCTTTCAGTAGTCATGCACTCTGGTACTACCCTTGTTCCCCCAAATAGAACGTACGTCGTACGGTCATTATAGTTGTATTCAGGGCAACGCCTACTCCAGAGACAGTGATAACGACCGTACTCCCAAAACAAAAACAAAAAAAACGACCGTACGTTCTATTCGGGTTCTACAGTAGGCAGGCATCAGGGCTACAGCTGTAGAAAGAATTGACAAGCAGTGCTAAATCGCACCCAAACAAACATCGTACGATAGAGATACACACAAGGTGTTACTCAAAACACACGACGTAGGACGGTGAGAGAGAGAGAGAGAGAGAGAGAGAGAGAGAGAGAGAGAGAGAGAGAGAGAGAGAGAGAGAGAGAGAGAGAGAGAGAGAGAGAGAGAGNTTGTGTTGGGACCTTGGGTGGCATTGTCTTTCCTTGTGAATTTGTGCTTTGGAAATGAGCAGGATCAGAACATAGGTTTTTTTCAGTTTTTTTTTGTGTTGGGACCTTCTTTGGTCCTTGCACGGCCAGGCCGCCCAGGCCCGGCTGGTAGCCTAGAGCCCGAAACTATTTTCTGGGAATGATGACGATGATGATCTTTCTACTCTGGGAATGAGTTACAAAAACAACCGATGACGATTACCTAATCGGTTGCCATCACAACCAACAGATTACCGTTTCATAATCGACGTAATCCGTCGGCTGCGAAACCAACCAATTACTTAATTGGTGGGTTTCGTACCCAGCCAGCTGCAGTCGCGTAATCAACCGATTATGTAACCGGTCGGTTTGGGCCTGCACGCAGCATACGAGGAGAAGCGAGTGGGCTTCCACCACAGCCATGGTGGGCAGCGCGATATATGAATTTTGTTTTGCTATTGCTCCTCGAAATTCATGAATTAGGGGCATATATTGGGGGCCCCCCATGCATTGATTCGCCTGGGGGGACCGCCATGCATCAGGGGCCCCGTGCATACAGGCTGTCTCTACATATGAGAGAGATGTGTATAAGAGACAGACGTAGGAGGGAGAGAGAGAGAGAGAGAGAGAGAGAGAGAGAGAGAGAGAGGGAGAGAGAGAGAGAATAACACTGCAACCTCCGAGCGCAGGTAGCGCTTTAAAATTCATCAAGAATTAGCGCTGCATCTGGTGAAGTGACCCGACCGGTTTCTACCAGTCGCCAGTCTGGTGTCTTCAGGGGTCAACCGGGCTGGATGTCCAAGAAGACCTCGACTCAACCAACTTATACTTCTCTACAGTGTCGTCTTGACGAAAAGATAAAAATACAAAATACAAAAATACAAAATACAAAATACAAATGACTGGCTCCAGCCTACTAGTAGAAGCCCAATTGTAAAGGCCCAATTGCAAAAACCTTGAAAACACCTTAACCAGGCCTCCGCCGGCCTCTTTTTGAAAAACACCTTGAAATAACAAACCAATAACTGATCCCGTTTATAAGTGTCCGAGACATATTCATATAACTCCCTGTCTCACTCCGTATCTCTCGGGCCATCCAGTGAGGCATAGTACCCAACGTTGCCACTTATTACTGAATCGCTTCGAAAAAGTTCTCAGTACTGTGTCAAAAAACTCGTCCGGGAATCCCCTCAAACCAAGCTCAATCTTCAATGTGAATAAAAAACACAGATCAGCACAAGGTATCATATTCATATCTTTTAGCCTATGTAAAAAGGAACCGAGTACAGCCTTCTTTTGCTGCTTTGGAGAGTACGAACAATAGTCCTACAAATTCTGAAAAACGATACCACTTGATAGCATCGTTCTCTCATAAGTTGCCGCACATAAAATCTGCGCTGGGTGCTGAAAAACTTTGATAACACATCCAAGGTAATCCCACTCCATACTCTCATTAGTTTGTTCCAACACCAGATTTTTGTCATACGATTGACTGAATTGCCGAATCCTATCCTCAGCCTCCCTTCGTGAAACTTCGCATCCTGACGCAAAACTAGTAAAGACTGAAACATCATCGACCAAACGTACACCATGAAACAAATTCCTCGATCTACCTAAACTATTCAAAAAATTGAATTCATTATAAGCGCAAAGTAAACAGGCAAGTGTCGGATTCGATGGTTTACCCATTGGTATACCAATCTTTTGTCTCATCTTAGAACCCATAGCAGACACGTAGGTATTCGCTAAATCAAAGTCGACAAAACATAACAACTTTCCGAACTTCAGACGTACCTATCCTTCAGAAACCACTTTCTTTGTGGACAGCACCGCACCTTTACCTCTCTTCTTGACCATAACATCTGCGAATCCACATTCTTCATGAGCCGCTACTACCCACTCCACTGCTTTCAAGATGGAGGAATGGGGTAAGGCACTAAACATTTCCTTGACGTCGAAACTGGCTGCCGCTATACCACCAACTTTATTGATCATCTCAATTCTACTTTTCAAATCCCCAGTGGCACGAAGATTGAAGTGTAAGGAGGTGGGAAGAGACCAAAGCAGACAGTTGACAGCTTTAGATACGATACGACAAGCTCTAGTAATGGGATCTGTGTGGGAGGGACATATAGGTCGCCATCAACAAATATCTTTATGTTTAGGGATACAATAAGCCATACCTAAGCTTCCTTTATTAATAAACTTAGCAATCCTCTCCAACTTCTCCTTTTTGTAACATTTGACCATACTTCTAACTAACTCCTCTTCCATTTTTGTCTGTTGCTCAAAACCCTCGTTGTTCATGAAAAGCTTTTTCATTCCTATTTCATAGAAGGCAGGGCAACATACTAGCGTATCGTCAATATTATGATCGATCGGGCAGATCACAAAACCATCAAATTTCTTCTTCCAGAAAAACACCTGTTCCTGTATGCATACTGGTTTCTCATCACTACAACTCAGTTTGATACACCCCTTTAGATCAGAATCAGAGATAGAAAAGATTTTTGTGTCTGACTGCACCGCTTCAAGGCACATACGAATTGAATCTTTGACTTTCGAAAGATTGGACTTAAGATTGGGGGATGGGACATTCCTGGAGTTACGAAGAAAGAGCGGAATCTCATAAAAAACAATGAGTCTAAAAGAAACATGTTCACCAGTTCTGGGAAAAGAAGAATTACTGCATATACAAGGTAACTTATGACGACGAGAAAAAGATCGAAAATTAAACAAAAGATCACCGACCGACTTATTTTTAGTCCATACAACCCTAACCTTACGACAAATAATATCCTGGATTGGCTTCCGAATAGACGAGCTTCTCACGGTCTGCACACACAGACTTCTTACCTTACTTTTAGAAATCTGCGAATCAAAAACAATCCTAATCACCGGCTTAATACGAATTCGAACATCGTACTTATTCTTAACCACCCTACTGACTATAGTTCTAAGTGAAGACCTAGTAGCTTTCCTCGAGAAACTCCTAATTGCAGAATACAGCCTAATCAGTCGATCAAGCGGAAGTGTGTACAAGTGCTTCCTAGTGACTGGTTTAGACAACAGAGCGAAAAGTGTAGCTTTGGATTCATGGAATCTGGAGCAAAA